AGGAGATAAGCATCCTGGAACGGTACCTAGAATTCTTCAAGGAAGTCACCTATGCCTTTTCCCCTGGTGAATTTTGTACCGCTGTCAACGACCTGAGGATGAATGCCCTCTGTTTCATCTTCCAAGTCGTCCCCAAAACAGATGCAGTTTTGGAAATGATGTCCGAATATTTGAAGCGAAAGGACATCGGCAGCTCCTGTTTGGAGAAGGGAATCCCCAAAAATTGGTATGAGGATAGAAAAACCGTGCAAGCATTGCAAGGAGCCTGTTGCAATTTTTTGGCTTTTTTCAAGGCTAACAAGTCTCAGAATCACTTGAAATTCGTGGTGACCGAGGAAAGTCTTGGAAATAAGTCTCACGACATCATTCTTTATGAAGCAGGGGTTCCAACACCTTTCGTTCCACCAGGGAAGCCGCAAGGCCTAAAGGTTCTGGCTGTTAAACACGATACCATGAAACTTTCATGGGAACCGCCCACTTATGGAATGGAATCAGTGGAAGCATACTTGGTGTCCTTTAGACCATTCGGGTGTCAAGAGAAATGGCATGAGCACAAGGTAAATGAGAAGAAAGAAGATACCTTAATCACAGGCCTAACACCCAAAACAAAGTACGAGTGGAAGGTGAGTTTCAAGCAGCTTCAATAATTCCACCTGAATTAACCAGATTGAATGGAAATGATAGTTTCCTCCACTTGATTTTAAATTGTTTCAATGCTGAAGATATACGAGGTGTGGCTATTATGTTTCCAGACTGGTTTTATTGCTGAACTTTGAGAGAGAGGAGGGGAGTGGGGCTATGGCAGTAACTTGGAGGGGAGTCTTAGCTTATAGCTGGGCAAGTTTCAGTGTGGTCTGACCAGCGCGCTGCGAGCTGCGGCCAGTTAAGGTAGACCGTATTTGTTTGCGCTGGCGGATTTGAAATGGAGCATAATCTCGAGCAGAGAACTAACGTCAAATCAGCATCGTTGGGATAAGTGTATACGTTCTGGAGGGGAGTACTTTGAAGGCGATGAATGTGATTAATTTGTAAGTTTGAAAGTAAAAAATACAAAAATAAAGTCTGGAAACTTAATAGCCACACCTCGTATACTGTAGAATGGGGTGAGATGCCTCCAGGAAGGTGAGATGAATTTAAAAACAAAGAAAAATCAAGTAGCCAGAAAAACTACAGATTCCATTGTTTCTTAACGATCTTCGGGCCTGCTTTCTCCTGTACTTTCAGCTGAAATTGATTAATTTCATGTTATTATATGAAATACTATTGTTTATAAATGAACAATCATTCTCAACTATTACTTCATCCGCCATATTTTTCATACTCAGAACAAGCCTATTTTTTTACGGCTAAACTCATCACATATTCTCGTACATTTTAAACCGAAATACTTTGGTCATTCTAGTATTGTTAGTCAATGGTCAATAGTACTTTTATTGCTATTGAAAAATTATCCACATAATCCTTTCCCCTTCCGTTCCCAAGTTTTGCTGACAGCAGGTTGAAGAGAATTTTCTTTTATAAGCTAAAGAGCCACATTCTTGGATTATCATGATCTTGATTTACATTTGAAGTGTTACATGTTTTATGGTATTTTTAGCTGTTAGAAATCAAACGTAATACCTTGACTATTTAAATATGAGCAGAAATGTAAACGCAATAACGGTACTTGGGGGCATATTAAACATAAGAGTCCTAGGCCTGTCAGGATCAACCTGTAGGGACAAGAGAGACAAGGAGGAAACTCGGGACTGTGAGTTTGAGGACATTATTTGTTATGAAACCACCGAAACTCATTTGCTAGTGGGAAGTTTGTGACATGCCAGATATCGTCTAAAGCGTAAAATAGAAACGAACACAATGGCCAGCACCGCAAGCTATAGAAATGTATGCCCTAACGTTATGTTTGCAGTTGCTTTCTTCAGTTATGTATGTAACAGGTTTGGAGGTACGAGTATTTAATAACATTTTACATGGAACCATACATCTATACTGATAAAGCTAATGTATGAAGAAGTAAATAAATGCATACTTGCTCCTATTGTATTACATGTATAATATGTAGGTCCTCAACATATATACAAATGTCTGTTTATTGGTCACAGGTTTTTCAATTCTTATGTAGAAATGAAACCTCTCGTTTTTTATAAGTGGAATCCTCTCACCTTATGACACTACTTTTCCAGGTTACCACTCGTTTTCTTAAGGCATGGATCAAGAAACATTTGTCTATAGGTTTTAATGACATCACTTATTTCGACTGATGCGCATTACAGTAATGGGGAAACTATCAAATTAAAAAAGTATGTATCGTTCCAGGAACTCTACGTCAAAGTAGTAAAGTGGCGTCAACTCACCCCACGCTACGACATATTCAATATCAAGGTATCCTCAATTTTTTCTTACTTCTGAAACAGGTTCGAAGTATTTGCTCAGTTGGTGAGAGCGAGGACAGTGAAATGAATGGGCCAATCCAGACGGAAGATTTCCAACCGATTCGGTTGGCTGAGAAGCTTCTCCAACAATCCGAGCTCATTGAAGGTAATCAAGGCCGAAAAGGAAAACTTTCAATATTAAATTTTCTGCAGTTACAGACCGGCAAAAAACTGATTTGTAAAAGCGACCCAGTGAAAAACCTGTGCTCTAAGGAGACGCACAGGAAAAGTTAAATTTTTCCTAAAATCAGCATCACGTCCGTTATGCGTGTGCCAGTTGCATACTTTTCTATTTCTGCCCGATTCGCTTGGATAAGAGAAATTATTGGAAAAAGTTAAGTCCCCAATAAATATCCCCCTCAAAAGTCCTATATTTTGGAAATGTGACATTTTTCCTGAGCTCACTGCGTCAGCAGTCACGTTCTTGCCAAGTTTCACCTTTCCATTTCTGTCGAATTCGCCACGACACCTTTTTTTTAAAACATCACCCCGCGAAAAAATTCCTCCATGGGGATGTGTCGATACTTATCATTTTCCTTTAACTCCTTGTCTCGGTAGTCACATTCATGCAAAGTTCCAGCTTTCCATGTTCATCTGTTTAACTGAAGCAAAAAAAATTAATAAAAAAATCTCCCTTTTAAATTTGTGCCCCCGTAGCATTTACTTCTAAAAGTCTGCTTTTTTCTGCACGCAGCATCCCAATAGGTAGTTATGTACCAAGTTTCGTATTTCCACACCAGCTCAATATGCCAGGGTAAAAAAATGTCTTGAAAACATTTGCCCCTAAAAACATGCACCCACATGGCATGAATCTATAGTTTTACATTTTTCCTGAACTCATCGTCTCGGTAAGCATGTCCATGCCAAGTTTCAGCTTTCCATGTCTCTCCGTTCTACTAAAGCGAAAGTATTGTTAGGATGGGGGACTATGTAACGCGACTTGAAAGGCTCAAGGGGCCGAAAGAAAACTCGGAACTTTCAGGATTTGAACCTGAGCCTCCCGATTCCTAGTCAGGTGTGTTACGACTGCGCCACCGAATCCGAGACATCCAGTTAACCCTCTCGATGCCATCCTAATCCGTCACAATATATATCGTTAAAAACTTCTCCCCCCAAAATGTGTGCCCCCAGGGCATGTACCTCCAGTCGGATCTTTTCTGAACTCTGCATCCCAAAAGGTACATGTGTAAAGGGTTTCAGACTTTTAATTTCTCTAGAACATGGTTAGAATTAGCGTCAGTCAATCAGTCACGATCGTCTATATACAGGTATATTAGATGGTGAAGCGTTCGAACCGAAAACGTTTGGTCCTGAGTACCCACGAAGTTTAGGCTTCATTTTTTAAATCTAAACCTTGTAAAATTTCCCTGAACTTTTAATTCCATGCCTCCAATATCCCATTGCCTCTAGCGGATCACTTGGGAGATAGAGAAACATCTACATCTGTCGACCCACTAGAAACTGTGGCACTCTACAAGCTGCCTTTGAGAGAGACCAAGGATCAGGCAACAAACAAAGTGATGAAGTATGCGGTTGGCGAACCCGTCTTCCCACCGAAGCCTGAGAGGACAATTCTGGTAGTTGGTGCAACTGGATCAGGTAAGTAGCCCTCATGTGAATAAAAATCAAAGCGAACGAAGGCAATGTGCTTTGCGACCTTTTTCTCTGCTACCACGTCTGTTAACACGTTGGCGACAATGCGTCCTAATGCCAGGATGCAGATTTTTTTTCAATGAATACCCTCTAAAACTGTTGAGAACGTTCCAGAAGATTATGATTTCGTAATTACTNAGGATGCAGATTTTTTTTCAATGAATACCCTCTAAAACTGTTGAGAACGTTCCAGAAGATTATGATTTCGTAATTACTGATAAAAATTCCAAAAAAGTCAACATTTTAAAAAAACTCGGCAAAAAAAATGTTTTCTTGGACCATGCGTCCTGATGGCAGGACGCATTTTTTGACAAAAGAAAATGCACTTGGTCCCACGCGGCGGACAAGCAAAAATAGGCTGGTCGTCAACGTATTAAGGTTGAAATTCAAAACTAAAAAAAGAAGATGGTAGATAACTGACGATGCAAGTCATCCCAAGAAAAACCATCAAAGTGGCGTATGACCATTTGCAAATAAAAAGTTTTTTTTTTAATGCCGTTGTTATTACGTGACTAGGATCCATACGAGTTTCTCGCATATCCTCCTTTACAATCGAGCTAAAATGATACGTTTTTCACATTTGCGACTTCTTTGTGTAATGCGTTACCCCTGATGTACTGAAATACATAATACGGTTAGTGGAAAGCTCACCAGTTCCCAGGCATGATTATTCGCATGCTTGGATTGTGCATCCTGTCTCTTTATCTCAATTTTCTCAATTACAAGGTCTTCGTCATGTACTTCATCGTCAGAGGAAAGGATTCTCCTTTTTCGGTCGATTTTTGCGTGCTTTTTGCGGAGTCCGACGTGTATTACCTGGCAGACAAGAAGTCAGAACGTGCTATATTTACCATGAGGGGCGCTTAGCCATTGGCTATGAAAACAAAGTTAGGGGATAGTTCGCGCAATCGGAAGTAGGCAACGATTAACGGACAATTTCGTAGACAATGTTCAAACAATATCAATAGATAATTGACTTTTAAAATAATATCGTTCATCCAATCGGCCCTTCATGTCCAATACCCTGAAACGGAATTGCAGTGTCCAATAAGTCAAAATAGCATCTTCAAATACCATTTTTAAAAATCACACCTACAGAACAGTTGGCACAGCAGAAGAAATAACATCGATTGAACGATAACATATCAATTGGAATCATCTTTGTCAAAAACGCAGGCAATTCTGAGTTTCGAAAGTGCCTCTAAATGCCCTCCACCAGCCTCACATTTTTCATAGAGCTTGGCTCCAAAAAATATTAAAAACTCTCTTTGAACTCTGACGGGAGTCTCAAAGACCTCCGTCCAGGCGGAAGCATTTATTCATTGCTCCAGCGTCAATTGCAAAGCCTTTCTTCATGACAGTGAAAGCAAATAAAAGTAAATGATTTTTTCTGTTTCTTGAGTCACTTTGAAATAATGTGGGGAAAATATGAAGTTTAACAATTTTGTAGAAGAGGACTCAACAAGGGGTACCATGAATAGACGTAAATAGGTAGACATTTCTAATATACATTCCAGGCCATTTTTTTTTGTCAGATACCAAGTCATTACCAAAACATTGCTATCAAGAGTGACCTGCTTATTGCAATTTGGAAAATATTGCAGTTTGAAATGGTATAGTTACTCATGGGACACCCTACATAATCTTCATATATAATACGCTAATGTAGGTTTGTAAGCCAAGCCGTGACGATATGCTAATATATACTGTATACTAGCATGTTATGCATCTTTTGAAAGCTGTAGTCGGTTGGTGTGCACCGAGAAATAGATTTGAAATGGCATGAACCGAGGAGGAGTTATATGCTCTTGCATTTTTCACCACTACGCTACCCATTATAGAACCCTGCAGGGGCCGATTTTCCGGTACTCGACCCGATGGGCCCGATTCGAGTCATGGTCCGCACCCGATCGAAAAACTCATATTTCACCGTAACTTCATGGCCCGACCCGACCCCGATACAAAATCAAGTGCTCTAACCTATTCTTTCCTGTGTGCTTCTTCATCATTCCAAATTGCTTTGCAAAAACAGGATGTTGTCGAAAGTCAGAATAGAAGAACATTTCTTCAAAAAGAAACGGCTAAACAGATTTCGGTCTCGAGAGGCACTAACCACCCCTTACCCGTCAAAAAGTCATCCTTCCTTCATTTATATTCATGGTCTCGCTATTTAGTATTTTCATTCTCTCAGATTACATGCATAAATAAGATTCCAGTCATGATTTCTCCATGGTCTCAGACCAGAAGAATGACACCTTTAAAAGCTAAAATTCTGTCCGACCTGATCAGATGCTAAGAAGGGTTTAACAAATTTCGGCCCCAGACCTGGGTCAGGTCGGGCCACATTTCGCAACAGGGCCCTAACCCCAGTTCCTCAAACAGCGAAAACGACTGGTGTTTTACCCATAACAATTTTGAATTTTTTCTTTACTCTCTGGAGCGAAACACGGGACTCCAGAGCGACATTGGTTACTCAATTGTGGAAAGTCGTAACGCTGTCGGCAGCTCGTTCGTAATTAACGTCGGACGTAGTTGGGTTTGAAACCAGGTTCCCTGGCACGAGAGCCGAGCCCATTACTTACCGAGCCACTCCCCAATGACAGATTGATGAGCATAAGTCCAAATGGATTATAATTGCACGCACCAATAACTCCATAATAATAACACAATAATTGTTCCATACTCCTACCCCCCGGCCTCAGCCCCATGAATAATATTAGAGTTACTTCTGTACACGCGTTTGTGTTGCAAAACGGTCGGAGAAGAATTACAGATAATTTAACCCAGTTCAAGATACATAGAAGAAATCGCAATTTTTGCTCTCGAATTTTTTCTTAAAATTTACGGTCTCATTAACGCCATGAAGTGATAAGAATAGCAAATGTCTTTCTCCTCACCTTGCATAGAGGTCTACCTGGCATGAATGTTTTTTTTAATACTTATTTGAAGGCATAATCAACCGTTTCCCACTCCCGCAGGGAAGAGCACTCTGGTTAATTCCATGGTAAACTATCTATATGGGGTGAAGTGGACCGATAATTTCCGCTTCAAAATCATTATGGATGAGGAGGACACAAACAGGACCCATAGCCAGACGAAGAACATTACAGCATATACTCTCTACTGGCAAGACGGATTCGAATTATCATACACGTTAACCATAGTTGACACACCCGGATTTGGGGATACGTCTGGAATTATGGCCGACAGGGAAATCGTTCGCAGGATGGAGGAATTCTTTAAGAGGAGAGGTCCTCATAGCATCGAGCAAGTGGAAGCTGTTGGGTTTGTCATCCAGGCATCTGAAGCACGGTTGACACCCACTCAGAAATACATATTTGATTCCATCCAGGCTATTTTTGGAAAGGATGTTGCGGCCACCTTCCAGTTGATGCTGACTTTCGCTGACGGCAATCGCTCACCTGCTTTGGATGTCGCAAAGGCGGCGAACATCCCCCATACGTCAGTGTACAAGTTCAACAATTCAGCAGTCTTTGCTATCAAGGATGAAGAAAATGTTGAATTTAATACGTTGATGTGGAACATGGGCATGAAAAGCTTCACATCCTTCTTCCAAAAGTTCGCAATGGCAAAACCAGTCAGTCTGCACCTCACGCGAGAAGTGCTAGAGGAGAGGGGCAAATTAGAACTAATCATCAACGGACTTCAACCCCAAATAACTGCTGGTAATCTTGTCTCCTTTTCGAAATCTACACATTTAACACTTTTCCACCCAAAGTCTCTCCTAAAACCTGAAGAAAACCTAAGCGTTTTTCTTGAAAAATGTAGCAGCAATAATTAGAATAACACCTTCATCAGCCATGGTGGCAAAAAAGAGACCACCTTCACAGCTTTTTTTAATGTATTAACGTTACTTGACCGTTTTCTGATCGCATTCTCCACACTTCCAGTTTCCATTAAAGCATTGTGTAACTTGATAATGCTCATACGAGAAGGTGGATCTCGACCGATTTCTGCACGAAACTTTCGCTGTACAATCACGGGACTTTTTGTCGAAACGTACGAAGCAGCAACCTTTGCCCGATAATTCACAAGAAATAACATCTAAAAACGGAAATGTAATTTTCAAACGGACAATTGGCTTAAAAAGCCCATTGTCCACAGAACCAATGACACGCACAAATGCAAATCATGCTAGTCACCGTAAAAAAATGAAGAAAAAAATTTTTATCCAAAACTTTGCATAATAATTAGATGAAAAATAAGCAGACGCATGCAAAAGTTTCGACTTCCCGTAAAAATTGCGTTCCTAGAAAACCTCGTTGCAAACTCAATTAAAATTGACTCAATGAAATTCTAAAGTCAGCACTACTTTATGCTAATATGATTGAAATTTATGAAAATTTTGACAATCTAGAGCAAAATAAAACGAATGATTTAAATGGCGCTCCCTGTAATTTAAAATGACCCTAAGTATCTCTGAGTATTTCGAAGCCTAATTCCACCGAAACGCTCTTGTATGCTGTACTGACCATTCAACGTTGTTACATTCGCCTTTTTTAGAGGACTTCAAACATAGTGGAAGTTTAAAACCATGATTAACTATGTAATTCGGAAGTTCCATCCCTAGAGTATATTCTGGATAACATGCGAAATCCGTTATTATTCTAAAAAACGATATTTTCGCTCTTTATTTAAGGTTTGTCAAAGCTGGAGGAGCTACGACAAGAGAAAGATGTTCTGGAGAAACTTGAAGACCAAGTAGATGCTGCCAAGGACTTCAAATTCACGATCAGGGAGACGCGTCAGCGAAAGATCTCCTTGCAAAAGGGGGAATATGTGACCAATTGCTTAATATGCAACTATACTTGCCACTTCCCGTGTGGTGTTGATCGAGACGATAAGAAGCACAAATGCTCAGCTATGAAGAAAGGCAAATGCACGGTTTGTCCTAAGAAATGCGAATGGCGAAAACACCACAACAACCCATACC